AGGACCTACTCAATTTTATCCTGGCTGATTATATTAATTTTCTGCAGGCTTTGAATGCTCAGTCAAGAGCTCTACTAATGGCAAAATTGGATCGTTCTGGTATTGCCACAAGGTTGGTTTATATCTTCTCTTCTTACATATTTTCTGAGTTGTTTAGATAACCAAGACATGACAATTTGAAATTATCATTTTGCAGCATTGCTGGCTCTCTTGGGGTACCTATCCTCAATGGGTCAGTTCCAACTCAACAACCTGTTGCATTGCCCATCAATGGGCAGCCTGCTTATCCAGCTGCAATTTTGCCTGCCCCGATTGTGTCCACTACATCTACATCTGAACCTATTGGGCAGCCCAGTGAGTGTTTGTTGTTGAAGAATATGTTTGATCCAGCTACTGAGGTTTGTGTCTTCTTGTTTGTTCTTTATTTCCTTCTTTTCATTATCTTTCTTTTTTTTTTTCCTTCATTTGACATTTTTGATTTTTTGAGCCACAAGTTCTCTCTTGTATGTTGTATGAATTAATGATCACAAAGTTTTATTGCAGACGGAACCAGATTTTGATCTGGATATAAAAGAGGACGTGGAAGAAGAATGTAACAAATATGGAAGGGTGATACACATTTATGTGGATAAGTAAGCACTACCATGTTTTTGGCAGTAGTTAAATATTTGTTTTGCCATCTCTGATTCATCATAGACATTTCTATTTTGCGTATGTTATATTTTCATGCAATTTTCTCGGTTTGTCATTGTTCATATGCATGCTTCTCCTATCTTATCTGTGCATACTTGTAACTTAATTAAGGAACTAAAAAGTCCTGAAAAGTGAAGAAATGGAGATGCCTATGATGCAGAAAGGAATTTTAAAATGCATTAAAGGTGCATTAAAAAATTGATTGGGATAATGTCTATTATATACATGGTTGTACAATTAAAGCTGTCAATAACTCTTGCATGGTCATTACTTTTAACATTGCCTTATGTGGAATAATCTAATTTTTTAATTGGAAGATGTTCTACATAAAACTGGATTGCATGGCAAAATTTTTGAACTCCCCATCCCTCCCATGGTTCAAGCTTATTTCTTTTCTATAGGAAAATAGGTAATGGTGTTAATTGGCTTTTTCCAAGCCTTTTTGGCTTAGACATATGGTTTTGTACCTGATACCCGTAGAGAATCCTTTTTCCTAACCCTATTTTGAGTTGCCTGCAGACATGACAGGGCAGGTTGTGTATATTTGCGGTTTGAATCTGTAGAAGCAGCTGCAAGAGCCCAGCGTGCAATGCACATGAGATGGTTTGCTGGCCGATCTATATCGGCCACATATATGGTAATGAGTTTTGCACCTTCATGAGACTCCTACTATCTCAACCTTTTGGTCCTTCTCTTGTTGATGCCTCTCATATAATCTGTTTGGTTGTCAATTAATATTTCATTTCTCCCTTGCAGGAACCCCATGTTTATGAAGCAAAGTTTAAAGGATGAACTTGAACCAGTTTTGACTCTAAGAGGATGTGCAACCGAAATCCCTTGGTGTTGTGGTTGAGAATAGGTCACTTTTCGAACTCCATTTGCCCCAGGTTTAAACTTGAAGAATTTTATTTTGTACACAACTTGCTATATGTATGGTAACGCCATATGTCTTCTTCCTCTTGGTCAGATCTGTAATTTTCTATTTAACTCCTGTAATTTGTTGACTTGAAACAAGAAGCGTATTACTGGTAATATTTTTTATTCTCTCATAAGCCGACACTTATTTTTACCATCTTAATATGTTGGTTTCAAGCCCCTTTATATTTCACATTTTTCTGACGAGTGTTGCAACGTTTTATTCCTCAAATTTCTCCAGAGAAATAAATCGGTGGCATTGCTGACTTACCTACGCTAAGACTAAAAAATTATACGTTATACTATGTAAAAAGAATCAATTAAATTATCAAAAAAATTATCTATATTTTAAATTATGTTAAATTATAAAATATAAATTTTAAAATAAAAGGTGGGCATTCAAATTATTTTAAATAATATAAGAGACGAGAACATAAGAATGTTTTAATATTTTTTATATTAAGATATTTAATTATAATAATTAAATATATAAAATATAATATAACATTAAATTTATTATATAATTATTATTTGATATTATTAATATATAAAAAAAATTTCTCATTATAAAGTATGTTTTTTATCAACAACTTAAATATTTTAATAATATTTTTTTTTTCACTAACAAATGAGATAAGATAAAAAATAATTCTTATTATTTTTTATTGTATAATTAAAATAAATAATAATAATAGTAATAAAATATGTCCCCTTTGAATCACGGACTCGACTCTCTCCGTGTCTAAGGTCCCATAAATCGTTTTCACGGGACAGAATTGTACACATGATATGTTTTTAAGTTTGTACCAGCCATTCAATGGAAAGATTCGCTCCTCACAGTCCGACCGATCACTGAAGGGCGCTTCACCATCCGACACTATTATCTAACAGTCTGGCCGAGAAATTGAAAGATTATTAAGCACCCCCAGTGTCGTGGCCTGAATCCGAACCAAATGAGAAGGAGATAAATCGCGGTCCAATAGCCGCAAAGACCGCAGCTGCTGCGTTGATTTTGGCTCTCCCTTTTACTCTCCGCATGAAACTGAAACCGTTGGCTTCCAAGACTTTCGCCTCTTTAATAAGAAAAAATAAATAAATAAATAAAAGAAAAATGAAAAATTGAGAATCCGAATATTCGTTTAATTCAAAAGCCAGGCAAAGCGCACGCACACGGACGGAGGCGCAGCGGGAAACACAGACACAGGAGACGGAAAAGAGTGGTCGCAGTTGGCACAGCAGTCGGTACTGTTGCGGACACCTCAGGAGCTTACACTTTCCC